TCAAACTCACTATTAAGTCGTAACTGATCTCAAACTCACTATTAAGTCGTAACTGATCTCAAACTCACTATTAAGTTGTAATTGATCTGAAACTCACAATTAAGTCGTAATTGATCGCACACACACTATTAAATCGTAATTGATCTCAAACTCACTATTAAGTCGTAATTGATCTCAAACTCACAATTAAGTCGTAATTGATCGCAAACTCACAATTAAGTCGTAATTGATCTCAAACTCACTATTAAGTCGTAACTGATCTCAAACTTACTATTAAGTCGTAATTGATCTCAAACTCACTATTAAGTCGTATTTGATCGCAAACTCACTATTAAGTCGTATTTGATCGCAAACTCACTATTAAGTCGTAATTGACTTCAAATTCACTATTAAGTCGTAATTGATCTAAAACTCACAATTAAGTCGTGATTGATGCAACAAGACAAGCTTGCTAGACATTAGATCCCTATTGCATATCTGTGTATTTTTGTAAGCATTTCACCCCAAGCAAGGCGGGAGTGCCACTAGCACGCAAGTGGTTACAGAAAGTGAGAGCAAGAGTAAAGAGTCATGATTGAAGAAAGGTTGAAGAGAAGGACCGGGGAATACATCAAGGCATTTGGAGATGTCGATTGCAAGTAAAAGGAAGGGAGTTCCACTGACGGGATGTGCGATACATGAAGCTATTGGAGTAGAAGAGACGGCTAAATTTAACCATTTCGACAGTGAAAGAGTGGGACTGAGATGCCAACCTAGTAGCACATTTAAATTCATGCATATTTAAATTCATGCAAGGTACTAGCGAAAGTAGCTCGTCGGGGTAGTTACTGTGAATGTATTTGTAGAAAAGACAGACGGAAGCGACGGCACATCTGTGAGGTAGTGACTCTAAACGAGATGCCAGATCAGGGCCAATCACATTGCATATCCATGTCTAGATTTTTTCGAGGACCTTAAGACGAACAGCGGGGGCACCAGACCATATATGGCAGCAGTATTCCATGCAAGGGCGAATGGTTGATTTATAGATTTGAAGGATGAACTCGGATCAGAACAAATTTCTGGCGCGACACAGAGAACCAACTTCAGTAGATAAAATTATTGATTCAATGTCGTTATTCCATCTCGGCTCAGATGTATATGTAGGTGTGTATGCTTTGCATTTGTGTACAATAGTTAAGGATCAATGCTCGAACTCAGTATTCAGCGTAATTGATTCTCACGAGACAAGCTTGCTAACCATAACAGTACGCCGAAGTGCCCAAAATGATTTCATACTCGCTGCTTAGATGTGACACACGGGCGAAAGTGTGGAGCGCCCAGTAAAGAACGAACTGACTCTGCAGTCGTCACGGATTTTGCGAGGCAAGCTTGCTAACAATTACACCAAATCGAAGTGCCCGCAAAATCCAAGTCTTATGGTCGGAAATAGAATATTCTAAGCATTCTACCACGTACCCATACATACATCTTAGTGTATGAAGTGGGTAGCTGCAAATAATCTATTGAAATAAACCAGAGATAATCCACCCAGATTTTAATGATAACTAGATTAATTGAACATGCTTCTAAATTAACCGCATCTGATGACCGTAGCGATACGCCAGGCTTAATGAGGAGCCATGAAAAACAGAAAACAAATTGGTCGCCTTGTTGGTAAAGTAAAAAGAATTCCTGTGGGATAATTAGCAACGTTAATTAAAGATATAAATTTTGTGCGTGTCAGCCTTATTTGACAGGCTGATGACAAATAAGGCTAGATGATGATGTATTTCCGAAAAAAAAAGTAGGTTTCACTTTCTCTTCATGTTAAATACGTTATCCAAATAGAATAAAAGCATGACGTCTGTTCACCGTATTTTAGTTGGGAGAAGCTGCCTGGGCCCAGGGATTCTGCACTTATGGTGGCAACTTCCTCATTGCATTAAGATTGGTGGGTCGATATAATATCGACACCCAGTGCAACAGTAATCGTGGGAACTATACAGTTTTGTCCTTCTTTATCTCGCTTTCTCTCCTCTCTTTTACTTCTTTGTTTCGTTGAAAAAGGACACAGGTGTGTACGAAAATTCCGACTTTAAAATCTTTCTCTACTTCGTGCGTCAGTTTAGTCAAAAAGACTATAAATATGTAATTTATATACATATATATATAAACAAATGACGTCACACATTATGAAATGTCCGACAATTATTTTAAAGACATTTTTTATGTTTATACATTCTTTTTATAGATACAAATATTTAAGTAAATGATCTGTGTATAATAAACAGTATTAAATAACATTTACCGGCCTGAATGTCCGAGAAATTTTCACAGAAAATATTCGTCCTCCGACAAGATTCGAACCTGTATCCTGTACGGAACGTCATTTAGCTTGACGTGCCTTTACCGATTTGGCACGGTCGAATTTACTGTATTTAAACTTCAATGAATCTCTCACGTACATTCATGTCTGCTCATGGCGTATAAAATGTAAACAAATGACGTCACACATTATGAAATGGACAAAGTCCGACAATTATTTTAAGACATTTCTCATGTTAATACGTTCTTTTTATAGATACAAATATTTAAGTAAATGCTATGTTTATAATAAAACAACATTTACCGGCCTCAATTTCTATGAAAATTTCTCGGACATTCAGGCCGGTAAATAAACGAATAAAAGCCATATGACATGTGTTGCAGAAAGCAGATTTAATTCTCGGATTGTAAACTACTGTCAAAGACAAGCAGGGCAGAGATAAAGCATAGACGAAGGCCATGTGAGCAGTTTAGTAACAGGCGTCTTCCATTTCGCGTTGCTCTCGAGGCCATTTTCTTATCACTCTGTCTATTCTGCGGGAAGTGAACACTGCTTTACAGAGAACATTGTTTTGTGTGTTGCCATCATTGCCTCACAAAGTAATTTAATTTCATTCAGTGACTCTCTTTGTCTGAGCCCCTTGCCATGGTATTGTACAGTCCACTTCACTTCACTGATGCTCATCAGCAAAATAAATGACCGGAACACATCAACTCTTTCTATTTAACAAGACATTAGAACTAACAGATATTGCTACACATACTCAGTATCTGTTATTTCCAACATTTGTCGGTAGAAGCAAGTCAGTGTTATATCACGGATTTCGTTACTTTTATACTAACTTAGAAGGTTAATTTATGCGATAGTTATTGGTGTTAGGTTGAGTTTTCTCTTTATATGTGTGTTTGTGAGGCACCTCGAGTCGATGTAATGGTTAGCAAGCTTGTCTCGCTAGAACAATTACGACTGAGTAGTGAGTTCGATCCCCATTGGGTGCCCCATACTTTCGTCCTTGTGCCACATCTGAGCTTCGCTTGGAAAATCACTTTGGGCGCCTCGAGACGGTGTAATGGTTAGCGTGCTTGTGTCGCTAGAACAATTACGACTGAGTAGTGAGTTCGATCCTCCGCTTGGAAAATTCCTATTAGGACACCTCGAGGCGGTGTAATAGCAAGAATGTCTCGCTAGAACATTTACGACTGAGTAGGGAGTTCGATCTTCATTGGGTGCCCCCTACTTTCGGCCTTGTGCCACATCTAAGCTTTGCTTGGAAAATCACTTTGGCCGCCTCGAGGCAGTGTAAAGGTTATCGAGCTTATCTCGCTAGAACAATTGCGACTGAATAGTGAATTTTATCCTCACTGGTTGCCCCCTGCTTTCAGCCTAATGACACGTCTAGGCTGTGCTTGGAAAATCGCTATGTGTGTGTGTCTGTACATGTTTTGGTATGTCTTTGTATGTTTCTGTGCACGCGTGTATGTGTCGAATGTCGTGCTTCTTTCTTTATTTCATCATTGACCTGTCACTTCATACTCTTTCTCTATCCATTTTCTTTCTTTTTTCACCGAAACACTTTATGCGTGTGTGTGAATTTTTCTATTTGTGTGGGTGAGGGAGTTAGTTTGTGCACGTAAGTGTGCGTGTCTGCGTGTGCGTGTGCGTGTGTGTGTGCGTGAGAAGAAAAATAAAGAAAATAGTAAGAAACAAAATTTCTGTCAGTAAAAAAAAAGAAAAGTGTGCTAAACTGTTTCGTAATATTGCTCTATGTTTTGTCCTTTGACAGCAAATAATGGGCAATTTTCTCAGAGATGGCGTAGACTTCAACAACAGGTATGTGATTCGAGAGAAAAATACTGCGAATATCATGGACGAAGCATGTGAGCAACTCGGAAGTTTAAGCAAAATGGAAACAAAAAAGACACATATTTAGAATCAGAATCAGACATATAATGATCAAATAGGGCTTGGAGAACATGACACACACATGGCATATTAAATGCAAGAGAGGTCGAGAGAAATAACAAGTAAATTACTTATTGATTTTCTGTAAACAAATAGCAGTGCAAAAAATGAGAAGGATAGTAAATAGAGAAATGTTTCTAAGACCTACAAAGGATAGGAAGTTGTAGAGAGCTATAACCACCCACATTCTGAAGAGAAACAGTGCAGTAAAGGTAGAGATATTTTTTTCTTTTTTTTTTTTAAGCATTACGCCCCGATCAAGGCGTGAAGCCACTAGGATGCAGGGGGTTGCAGAAGATTTGGAGCGAGAGCAGATAGGAGTGATAGAAGAAAAGATGAGGAGAATGATAGTGGGTAGATCAAGGTAAATGGAGATGTCGATTGACATTACATTTGAATAGTTGATATTATAGCTCTCAGGGAAACAGTAATTGACAAAAGATGTAAAGAAATGTTTTATATTTGCTAATTACAGTGAGGAAGGCCTTTCAAAATAGATAAATGTCGGTAACCAGGAACTTAAAGTCTTGAGCCAGTTCTGCGATCTTGGCTTGATTATCAGCGCCGAGGTCTGCGGAATAGAAACAATTTCAAGAGGCGCACAAATAATGGCAGCTGTCATAAAATTGCGAACCAGTGGGAAAGACAATAACATCTGCTTGAAATCAAATCTATGACTGTTATGTGCATTGGTCTTTTCAATCTTTCTGTTGCCAGCAAATCTTGGAGCTTACGGTCAAATCACGCTGAAAACATCGGTTTCTCGTTAGATCACCGAAGTTAAGCATCGTAGAGCTAGGTCAGTACTTAGATGGGGGACCGCTTGGGAACACTTGGTACTGTAAGTCCAACCCTTACCTCACAGTCGGTGGGGGGTGTAAACGGTAGTGTCAGAGCTATGCCGCCCGGAACTTCGTTCCTGGTAGGGCCACCCAAGGCGGACAGGTCTGACACACACGCCGGCTAACAAGGACTCTGGGGAAAATCCAAAGAGCGTCTGTATCGGCAACCAGAAGGTCGTTCCTGTCTCTGCGTCTGTGGGAATCCCGCGGCAAGCAAGAACGTTATCCGAATAGGCCTAGGTACCCTACTTCTGTAATTTATCCCAAGAATCTTCTTCTCACAACAGGAAGAAGCCGGCTCAATCCGCCCAGGGTGAATGCCGCATCAAGTACAAGTACAGCAAATCTTGGACTTTAACAGCAGAATTACTTTCGGAGAATCCAAGCATTAGAAATGGAATGCCACAGAAACCATTCTGAGGCTTCTCTAAATTAGACCGCATTAGAAATTTAGGATCGTGTAACACCATCAACCATCAAACAGGCTCGATGGATGAAGTCATATATACTCTCAAGAAGAGCAAGCTGAAATGGTATGACCCTGTCAGAAGAATCAGCAATCTTTACGCTACCATGCTACGAGGCACACCCCGAGACAAAAGAAAAGGCAGAGGTAGAAAAACATTGGTTTTGACAATGTCAGTGAATTGACTGAAAGATCCTTTACAGAGCCTAAGACGTTAGTATGCAACCGGAGACTTATGAAGGGAACTGCTCAGGCGCTCAACAGCAAATTAACCCTAGGAGCCAACCTGGTCATCCGGGGTGGGGGACGATAATGATGATGATTATGGTGATGATGGTCAGACCTGTAAAATGAGAGACTATTGACCCATCCTTGGCGTCTCCTATGTAGACGACAACCCAAGCAACTCAGTGCGAGACACCATCAGACAAGATACACGCCTATTGGAGGAAAGATGGCTTTGAGTGAATTAAACCTGTAGGTCTTAACGAGGACCATCCTTCTAAGAACCTTGTGCTCATGTCGCTAAAGAACTGTGAAAAGAACAGTACCAAATTACAGAAACCACATCACTTCAAGACTACCAACAGCAGCAACAACTAAAATGGATAGCACATGTCACTCGAAGAGAAAATAATGACATAATCAAAATGTTGACATTCCACACCACTTCAAACAAAAGGTTAGGAAGGAACCCCCCCATCAATACTGGAAAGAGCGATCAGTTACTAGACTTTCCTGAAAAAATGTTTTAAGAGAAAGTTTTTATAAATTTCAAATTCAAGAAGCACTTGCTCCTCGGTCAATGAATGTCTAATGTTTCCTTATAAGAAAACTGGTAATATTACCATTACCACTGTCATAACCACTGTCAAGAAGAGTAGGTTAAATTGGTATTCACACATCACAGGAGCCAACAATCTTTCCACTGTCATCCGACGAGATACGGCCTTAGACAAAGGAACAAGACGTAGACAGGGAAAATTGCCTGACAATGTGTTGTCTGGAAGATCATTCAGACATTGGCATGCAACCGAGGCATATTGAGGGAGCTGGTCAAGTGATCAGTTGCGCAGTGACCATACGACCATACCTGGTCATGATGATGATAATGATGATGATGATGATTATTACAATGGCCGAGATCTGTAGAACGGCAAATATCATCTCACCTGAACTAAAATAAAAACGGCGATGCTCTTTATTCAACTAACATTGACCTTTAGATTTCTTACCTGTAAGGTAATCAATCTTATTTGACAGGGCATTTGCCATTGTACGAGACGAGTTAACAAGTGCATTATCGGGTTCCGTTGTAAATGAGTCTTGGAAGCTATACGCTTTAATGAAGAAGGAATGGTAAACGTCTGATTAAAATGAAGGATTTTTTTTTATCGAAAGAAAGAAAAGGAAACTGTCATCTTGACTAAAAGAGAAAAAGGAATTTAAAGAAGAAAAGAAAAGAGAGAAAAAAAGGGAAAAACTAAACGAAAAATGATTGAAAAATAAAAAAATAAAAAAACAAGAAACCAAGAAGAAAGAATGAAAAAGGAAGAAAAAATAAGATGGAAAATGAAAGAAGAGAGAAACCAATTTGGCTTAACAAAGAAAAGGTCTGAAAAAATATCGGAAAGAAGAAAGAAAAGATGAGAATGAAAATTGAAGGAAAATCTTTTTTTTTTTTTGAAAGAAATTTTAAAAAAAAAAAAAAAAAAAAAAAAAAAATTATGAAAAAACAAAACTGGAAGAAGGCCAAATGAAAAAAAAAAATGAAAAAGTAAAAAAATTTAAAAAAAGTAAAAAAAAAATATTTGGAGGAAAGAAAAAATGGAGAAAAAAAGAAAAATGAAAGTTTAACGAGAAAGAAAATGAAGAGAAAATCTCTGAAAGAAAAGAGAAATGGTGAGAATAAAAATTAATGAAGAAAAAAACTGCAAAGATTTTTAAAAAATAATTGAAAAAAGAATTAAAAATAGCAAATAAATGAAAAAAAAAATGAAAGATAAAAGGAAACAATTTGACTAAAAGAGAAAAAGAAAAGAAAAAAAGGAAGCAATTTGACTGTAAGAGAAAAATGTGAAAAAATATCTGAAAGATGAAAATAAAAATAAAAAATTAAAAAATTTGAAAAGAATTCAAGAAATATTCTAAGAAAGAATGAAAACTAAAAAAGGAAAAAGAAACAATATGAAAAAGAAATGATATTGGAAAATATTTGAAAGAAGAATGCGATTAAAAATTAAGAACTGATAATAAAAAAAAGATCTTATAAAATAAGCCAAAAATGAAGAAAAAACATACGAAAAAAAAAAGAATGAAAATAGTAAATTTCAAAACCTCATTCATTTTAGCCAAACAAATATTTTTCTCATATATAAATATTATTCTATTTTATTGCTTGATTTTTTTTTTTTTTATCAACCTTTTTGATGTTATTTACAACCAAAATACATTTTTAAATTGTAAAAATATTGGGAGGGAAATAATAAAGATTTTCTGATACAAGTGTTACTATGTAACCAATAGCTAGGAGGAGAAGAGCTGGATTCATACCTTAGCCAAAGGTATTTGAACGTAAGTGAAGATAACAAACACAAATAGAATTCGAATGCGGCTTTCCAAGTTCGGATTCCGAGTTTTATCCAGCTTGATAAAGTCCCTCAGAGGACAAAACTATCGGCTAAGATAAGTTTTCATTTTGTCTTTGTTAATATTGTCCTTTTATTGATATACTCCTTTGATTTTTGAAACACACACACACACACACATATATATATATATATATATATATATATATATATATATATATATATATATATATATATAGATAGATAGATAGATAGATAGATAGATAGATATATAGATGTACATATATATGTGTGTGTGATTTTATATATATATATATGTAAATAAAAAAAATATTTCGGTTGAGCTCTCTGGGGAGGGAGTGTGGTTTGTAAACAGTGACTATTACGGCTAATAATGCAAGCCTCTTCGGTAAATCGAATCGAGTTCTCTCAGTCACTGTGTGTTTATCTAAAAATAAATACGCTTAAATTCACCTTCAGCACCGCCGTGCTCCAACGGCTTAGTGATAGAATCCCCGATTGATGGCAATTCAGTCGGGTTTCGATCCTAGCTTGAGGCGCAAAGCGAAACAGTCTGTCTGTGGACGACAACATATATGTAAATAATATATATATATATATATATGAATGACATATATACATATTTTTATGTATGTATGTGTGTGGGATTCCTCAATCTGAGCCGCTATCCACTACTTCAGCGTGTCTTCTTTCTTTCTGTCTGTCTCTCTCTCTCTATATATATATATATACTTTACTTCCTTCTCCCTCTTATTTCTTTTTCCTTTTTCGTTTCTCTCTTCTCCCCTCCCATTTCAATATATCACTTCCGTTAAGTTAACCGTCTAAATAGGCAAGCTCTGGTCACACCTCCTCCCCCAATACTAAGTATGCTTGAGAGTGATATGAAATTAATCCCTCCCTATACTCTACGATGTCTATTTAACTACTCCTTTTAGACTCTCTGTTAAATTACAAAAACTTACACTACACATCAATTTTAATTTCATTTATCGTTTCATCTTTGGAAGTGCTATCTGATGATCCAGCGTCCTTTAAAAGGGCTCTGGTGAAATAAATTATTATAATGGTACCTAAAAGTGGTCAGTTTTTTCTTATATATATATATATATATATATATATATATATATATATATATATATATATATATATTAAATAACAAACTATTAATCAAATTTCAATGTTAAATAACAAACTATTAAGTATATTTTAGTGAATATCGGGGTTTCATGCAAACGTGCAATCTTCAGGTGCTCAAAACTTACGTAGGTTTTGAAACCTGGAGATTGCACGTTTACATGGGATCTCCGAGTCGTGCTATCAACGTGGGATATTATGTATATTCACTAATATATATATATATATATATATATATATATATATATATAGAGAGAGAGAGAGAGAGAGAGGGAGGTATTCTATGTTCGTGAGTAAATGTACTTAATATCAGAGATAGCATACGTAAATGTATTTTTAGTCACTGAGGTTCGGTTCGAATGAGCTTCAAGCTATGAAGATTGAGTAAAGTCCCCGCTTGGTGTTGACCAAAGTGTCCAATTTTACATTTATATATATATATATATATATATATATATATGTGTGTGTGTGTGTGTGTGTGTGTGTGTGTGTGTGTGTGTGTGTGTGTGGTTAAATTATGATCGTTTGCGTCTTAGTGGCCTTGTTGCATTTGTAACAATATGATATCTCACACATCTGTAGAAGATAAGGAGATGGGTCCACTTAGTTTACTGAGTTTCGTAGGTGTCTCCAGTCCATCTCTGATTAAATTTAAGTGTCAGTGTTTCGGGGGATTTATATCTACAGCTGCCTTTGAATTGGGAAATATAAAAATTTCATAAATGATTTTAGATAGTCATAAAAGTAGTCCTTTGAAGATTTGACCTCCCATGTGGCTTTGGGGTCGTCCCA